TACATACATATATATATGTTATATATATATATATATATATATATATGTATACATGCATACATACCTACACACATACATACACACATATATACATACGCACACACACATACACACACACACACACACACACATATATATATTTAAATAAAATATCATACACATACACATATCTGTCCAGATTTACAGATAAATATATACATAATTATACTTAAAAATACTGATAGAGTTCTTCATGACCATTCTGAACTGATTCAATATTGCTGATCTATGGGAAGGCTACTTCCTCCCAAGATTTGCGTCATAAATTCTGCATAAAGTCTGGTCAATTATAGTTCCTCCCAGTGGGTATATACATAAACCAATTAGAGAGTACACACCTAAGCCCTGTGAATCGGAAAAACTTACAAACTCCCATACATACCGCATCCAGCAACCGAGTGACATTATAGTCCAGCACAACAGTGTCCAGAATCTCAGGCAGATTGACAATCAGGTCAGGATCAGAGCCTTCGCCACTACCACCTCCGCCTTTGCTACCAGTCCCACCGTCGGCGTGATCTGGCTCCCAGACGTTGTTCGTGTATATCTGGTGGAATATAGCCTGGTTGGGTCTTTCAACATTATCCTCATCACCAAAGTATAGCAACCTATGACCACGCACACCCACATTCTCTGTGGCAAAATTTCGATCGCCAGCATTGTGGCTGTTGCGATTGTTATCAGACACACGGTCTTCGTTGCTTTCGATTGTTTCCGGAACTTTCTCATCTGGGCTGCCTTCATCGTTATCGCCTTTGATATCCTGATTTCGATCACTGACGCTATCCAAATTGACCCCACGTGTACGTAAACGGCGCTCCAACTCCTCGTCTTCGTACTTTTCCTGCCTCTGCTGAGCCTTCAACAACGCCTTCACATCCAACACGCCATTCTTTCCACTGAATTCATGTTCTTCAGGTGGTTTGATCCTGAGTTCATCCATGTCAGGTTCGAATGGTTGATGGGGTGCACGCCCCGGAATCGGTTGATTTGGTAGACTCTCCGGCATCGGTTGTTTCTCTTCGAGGGTATCTACATTATTTCCTGCTACATCTGCTGGGTCAGTGTCTGCGTTTGGGGTTGCGCTCTTTGCATCATGGTCGTCTTTGCCCTGAAACACTTGTTGTTGGTTAATATTGTTGTCTGTATACTGGTGGAACTGCTCAACCTGTTGGCGCGCGCTTTCGTCAGCGTTGGTAACCACATCTGCAGCGTTCAGTGAGAAGTCAAACTTCACTCCGAAGTGCATCAACAGTGTCACAGCCGCCACACACCACAGTAGACCTATAAATTTCGTCTTCTTCCCCATAATGAGTGCATGACAATATGAAGTATGTAAGCTGTACAGTGCAGATGTGCATTATGTATGTAACAACAAACGGCAAACACGGAAAATACAAAAGAATAATATATATTTTGCGGAAGGGCTACAGCCTGAAGACCTGTCTGTAGCCTGCGTTGCGTAGCCTGTAGCGGTGCAGCCTGTACTCACTGTAGCCTTGTGCCCTGTAGGCTGTACATAAGAGTAGGCGCTGTAAAGATAGTAAAAAAAATATGCCTGATGAAGGGCGATGTTTTTATCTTATAACCAATGAATATTAAGTATGGAATATCTTTTACTCATTTACAATAGCCTCTGGAAAGTGAAATATAAAAATAATATTTACGCTGGAACGTCGGATCCAGTAAACGTTGAACGAAAACGCGAAGACAAATGAATGGAATTTTATGCGTTTTCACGTAAAGTTTTAAAAGACACTCAGCCTCAGGTGAAATCCATCACAATCGATTAACTTTAACGCGAATACGAGAAACGAACTGCTTGTGCAAACATAATTTTGTCTATTTAGAAGGCTATGATATTTTTAACTAAAAAAATACACAAACGTAAACGTCTATGCAAAAACAAAATAGAAGCGCGTGTCACGTACAAAGAACAATCGCACAAGCATAAATAAATACATAGCCTTATATAATAGGCAATGATTATATACAGTTCAAAAAAAATATCATAATAAAAATAAGAAACCTTATGTAGACGGCTATGGTATTGAGATTAGAGAATATAAAAAACAAGTATACTAGAATTGTTCAAATAAATACATTTGCAAGCTTACTTACTTCAAGTAAATAACTCTGCTAAAAGAACGCCGAGTAGCCCATTGCTACTAAGCGTAAGTCAACATCATCCCCTATTAGATAAAATCTTTCGACTTTACAGAGTAGCATACCTGTATGTATGATAACTGCGCTGTACAAGTTGTGCGTTTAACTCGTATATCAATCATATCCAGCTATGATGCGACAATTCCCGCTATGGAAATCTATGCACTCATAGATAGCGGGTTGGCTGTGGGGTCATTGTTTCTGCTCTCGATGTATATCAGTTCCAACCACGGAAAATGACTAACGCATAACGCATACCTCAACGCCAACACTACAGCCCTCTCCATTATTTTAGGAGATGTAGTCCAGGGTTTGTCGTCGATGTGTCCTATACACAATGCGACACAATAAAAGTAAAGGCGAGGAGAACCGAGCAGTCTTGTTACGCATACTAAACTCGATTGTATTGCAACACGAAATTTTTCTTTACAGTCATATGGATTCGGTGGTGTATCGTGTACGGGTTAATACAAAATCTTATTGACTTTTCTGTGCATAAGGTATCTGTGCACAACAGGTATGAGTTTACATTAGGAAGTCCGAACCTGCAAAATTGCTCCCCCAGTTGACCAGTTATGCTTGTCCTAGTTGAACGAATTGACATTAGGCTGAGATCAAAGCCTTTTCTAAGCTTGAACTCAGTTGTGAGATTTTCTTGATTTGGCAATTGACACGTGTTGCTGAACCGGTACCGTGTAAAAAACAAAGTGTACACGTGTAAAACAGCTAGAAAAGAGTTCTGCTTCATACAGCTGTTCCTGATACCAGGTCTGTTGAGAGTATACGAAAATACTCGTATTTGGTCGCAGGGAGAGAGTGCAACACATGCTGCACGGGTACTGAGTAAATTATAACGCATGTACATTTATAACAGCAAGAAGAACGATATGTTACACATTTAAAAGTGCTTGGTATCAGAAAACGAGCCCTACTTGAAATTAGTCGCAGAGAGAAAGAGGGAACAAGTTTTCTATAGAGGTCTTGTATTCCTCCCGCAATGTGATTTTTCAGTATATGTTTGATGGTGTGTTACTCATGTTTGAAGGTGTGATACTGATGGTCGCAGTGATACTGAGTTTGCAGGTGTGGTACTCTTGCGATACTTGGTTATATAGTGCTCCTGGTTCGTACTATTCCCAGCTTCACACTCGACAAGTATATAAATTTGCCACCATATTAGAATTAAGCATAGCACTAAATGTGTCACAGCAGTCGTAGAGTTTCATTGTTAACCAACATATCGCCGGATGATCTTATACACATAGCAATGTGTGACCATAAGCACGAACCAAATATACAGATAGGTAAACAGATGAAGCAACGTGCGTAACAAGGTTCACAGTTCTAGCAGCTTTACTAAATTTCTCAACTAATGCTTTATTCCCCGCTTTACTCGTTGTATTTCTCACCCGATTACCGAAATTCAGTCCATTTGACAGAGTCAGCACTAACAGTTGACTCCTCAAGAACGTCATCAGTACATCGCTGATAGACCACTGCTTCATCTTCTCCGGCAAAGACTTCATAGCAACCATGTAGCACCAAGGTCTCTAAGCTCAACTTATTCACTATTCGACTCACAAGTTCGTGCAAATCCTTGGTAACCACAGGGTTGTGTATGACCTTTAGACGCCTTAAAGCTGGATTAGCACGTAGTATCTCGACCAGCACCTTATTTTCAATAGTACACTTATGCAAGACAAGCGTGTGAATTGTATGTGGCAGCGAAAATTCCTGTTCAATTGGATCTTCCACTTCCTCTTCTACTATCTCTGGCGAACCAACTCTACTAACCCCAGCCTCAATATCCGAGTTCCGAACTGCCGACACGTTACTAGCATCGTTCACACGAATTTCTTGCCCATTCCTACTGCTGCCCTCAACTCCCGGGATTGTTGAATTCCGTCCACGTGCACTACTATTACCATTCGTGATTCCAGTGATTGCAGAACTTCTTTCTCGTCCTACTTGTGGCTGTGACGGACTTACCTCAGGTTGTGGCCGATCTACCTCCGGTTGTGTCGCTTCCGCGTTATTATCCGAAACGACATTGTCAGCTGCTTCGGCCTCACCCTCTGCGGCTGCCGGTGCCTCAATTGGCCGGGGGTTCCAATTCGAAAGACCGAGAATTCGTAAGCGATTACATCCCTTACTGAAGTGTAACTGCAATTCCTTCAATTTGGGCTGGTTTAGAAACAGCGTACGCAGATATGGAAAGTATCGCAATGTATGCCCAATCGAATTCTTCTTCAGAACGGGAGTGTCTATGTGAATCTCTGAGATAGGCATGGGTTGTACTGGTTGCGTAGCAACCGAAGAGTGCACCACGGGCACATGTGTGCTCTTCCCTGGACTCTTATGCAGGATCGACGGTGCCTTTGCACGTTCAGGAGACTGTGTATGTGAATGAGTGTCTACGCTTTGATCAAATCTCGCTCGCTTCGTTCCGTGTACTTTAGAACTCTCAGTACCCACTGAGGTATCGACAATATCCCTTTCCCTTTTGGGTACGGGTACTATTTCACCCCCTCCAGCATTACCCTTTGCTTTGCGTAATACGCGGATGACCTCTTTAAAATCTATTTTAGTATGTGATACGTTCAGATGCTGTAAGTGTGCGAGTTTGCTGAATTGGGTTGCCGGCAAGCGTCGCAGCTCTGTATTACCGGCCACTGATAGAGTTCGAAGGTTTACAAGTCGTTCTAAGGGGACCAGATGCTCAGGGCTGGTCAAAATATTATTCATATGCTCCAAAAACAGAGCCTCCAATTGCGTGAACATAGTTAGCTTTACGACCCCACGGTAGGTGATCTCCGCACAGTGCGATATATCGAGAGATGTCAGTGTGGAGGCTAATGGACGTAATGTATCGAGATGCCGGTCGAGCAATCTCGTATGTGAGGCGTTTAACTTAGTTAGATTACGCAACATAGACACACCTACCACCGCATTCGCATCTACGATACGTATATTCGTTATAGGAATGTGTTCCGACGCGAGTAACCTGGCTAGACCCGAATCCACTGTTGTGGTTTTGGACAGGTCGCTTAGCAACTCATCGGCTAGTTCCTTGGTGAGCATATTGAGATTGTCTATGGTAGCTATACTTTGCACCAGTACTTGTAGCGCCCTTTGACGTAGAGATTGAACGGGATGTGTGCTCGTGAGTATTTGTGATGGTGAGTTGTCTGGGGTCATAACTGCGTGATGTGTAGAGAAATCAAGTAGGAATGAACGAGGATTATGGCCATGATCGCGTATGGTTCTGCCTTCCGAGACAATCCTAAGTATTCATCCTCTGGTGAATAAATGTTCACTCTCTATCTATAAAGTGAACCTTTGTAACAAGTCCATGAAGTCAATATATATCGTATCATGCACAGGTGTTAAATATAAAACTATTTTTATAGTTGTATTTATGTAAACAGACAACAGCCCAGAACAACTGTAGATTTTCCAAAAAAAATAAAAAGTGTATAGGTACACGTGCAAATACGCGGGAATATGATATTACAATGCTTATTGGAAATATCTAGTTGTCCTTTGATGACCATTTGCTCGTATATTTCATTTCTATAACCCCTCTCTTGTATATATAATCTATAACCAACCAATCTATCATAATCAACACATAAGAATGAGTGAAGGAGATCGTACCGTCGATGATGGCAGCTCTGGCGCCACCCAGAACCCGCCTAACGATGGCCTTTTCGACGATGACGAAGTTATTACAGCCGACAAATACGACATCATAGAGATCAATGAAGAGGACGCTCCGGATGATCTCGATGAAGTATGTAGTAAAAATGAAAATAATAACAG